ATTCTTATTCTGATTAAATTCTTCATCGCATCAATTTCTTAATTTGATCGTGTAATTGGTGTTCTTGAGTTGGAATCACTAAATAAAAATTCATTTCATCTCAATATCGATGTTAATCTTTCTAGATAATTTTGAGGGTAAATCGATTTCTTAATGTTTTCATGATCGATTGTAATCATGTTGGAATTTAGAAATGTCAATTGATGTCTTGAAATTGATATTATTGTTGATTGAAATTGATGAATCGATGAAGAACATTCAAGAACAGATGAAGAATGGTTGTAATTTTAGTTGAAAATGGGAATTTGATTTGAAATTTGACATTGATAAGATAACTTTGGTGTTTTTCGGCAATTGAAATTTTAAGGTCAAAATAAGGAATCGAAATCACAAATTGGAATGTCTTGAGGTCAAAATCGAATTCGACTGGTCTTGAGTTGAGACTGATGTTTCTTATTTCGATTGGTTTGTTCGTATACTGGGAACGCCTTAGAAGTCAACAATTGATAGTTTGGAATCAAAATTTTGATTTTGAAGGAAGTAATTTTGGGAGTCGACATCAGGCAGTAAAAATAACATCGATTTTGAAGATTGTGAATAACAAAGGACGAAGATTTGAGTATTTGATATGCATTGAAAATTTGGGTTCGAAGGATTGAATTCGATAATCATTACAGATGGATGTTGAGGGATATCTAAACTGAAATCGAAGATTGTTGGTTGATGGCTTGATTTCGAAGGCCGGATGAATTGAAATTGATATGGAAATTGACTTTTTGGATTCAAAATTCGATCGATTGATTTTGATCCATCGCTTTAGTTGTTTCTTACTTGGAATGAATTCACACTAACTCAGAATCGTTAACAAATGGATGGAGTGAGAAATCAATTGTCGATTACTTGGATTGATAATTTGGGTTGGTGAATGAAAAACAAAGGTTTTGTGTATATGTTGCGAAGGTTTTGTAGCAACTGGAAATCTTTGATACTTGGGAAACGAATTGGGGAAGAAAATATAAGTTTCGAAAATGGTCCTTAATAGTTTGCAACTTTGTTGGTTTTTACCCACCTTCAACATTTGGGGCAATATTCGACATGTTGGAAGAAAACAGAGAAATTTCGAAACTAGCCCTTAAACCTTTGAAAGTGTGACGCCTTTTATACATCTTCGACATTTGGGGGGATTTTCTAAAGTTTGATGAATCGTGCAGAAATTTCGAAAGCAGATGTTGAAGTTTCGAAATTTTGGCAGACCATACCCAAATTCAAAAATGGACTAATTTTTTGAGCAATTGAACATTGTACATTTCAGGCCCCTGCAGTTAATGTGAACTGATGCTTTCTACCCAGTTTCCCAAAAGGGGGAGAGTTCCGCATTTTTGACTGTTTTGGGCGCACCGGGTTACTGTAGAATTTTGAAATTGACAATTTCTATTTTTGAGAAAATTTGTCAAAAGGCGGTCCGTGAACGAAACAAAAATTTGAAGATTTTTGGATTTTCCGGATTGAAGCAAAATGTTTATGTCATGTGTTAAGGGGGAGTTTTGGCTAGAAAAATTCCGAATAGAGCATTTTCTCATTCCTTTTTGGTTTTATAATCAATTTTCGATTATAAAAAGTGGGAGAAATTTATATGGAAATTCGAAAGTTGAATTTTTCATATTACGCAGACTTGAAGACCGAAGTGACCTCGAGTATTTGAAGTTTATGAAATGATTCAATTGGAAATTCAGAAGTGATTTCGGTTAATGATGGGTTTGGACTTACTGAAAATTTTTGGGGTGTGCTTTTATTCTCAATGTCAGACTTCAGTCCGATGCCAGATGTGGCCCGACGCCGGACTTCGGTCCGATGTCGGGCGGGGCTCGATGCAGTGGGCAAGGCCCAATATGTGTTGTTATGTGTTTATGTTACTTGCATTATTGATGTGTATATATGTATACCGGATTTCGATCCGATGTCGGGCGGGGACCGATGTAGCGGGCAAGGCCCATTGTATGGTATGTGGTAGTACGGGGAGACTCGCTAAGCTTCGTATTTATAGTTTTCAGTTTTGGTTTCAGGTACCTCGATTTTCAAAAGAAGAGCTCGGGAAGATTGCAGTGCACACACCAGCCTGAGATGTTTATACTCTGATATATTTGACAAATGTTATGATATTCTTGAGATACACGATTTATGATTTTTATATGATGAAAGATAATTATGGTATTATTAATGATTTAAAACGAAATTTTTTAGATTGTATTTTGGGATGTTTCATTAGTTTTGCGTGATATGGCAAATTCTTGTCAAAAATCAAAAACTTTTTTGGTACTTGTCAAATGATATATAATGTTTTTTTTTCTAGTTCTACACATATATGGAGTATTTTACTAAAGTATGTAGATAAATTAATACTTAAGTCATTGTCTGCAACACGTTGAGAAAGTTATATTGAATGTGTTAGAGCAATAAAAACTCAACATTTTCAAATTAAAAAAGCTTTAAAAAATTAACTAAAGTGAGTGATGATGGGAAAGTTTGTAGAGATACTGAATCATTACCAAATGATGAATTTTTTTTAATTTTGAATTTATTTTAAGTTTAGTAATATAACATGATATTTTATCTAGAATTAATTTGGTAACTAAGAAGTTACAATCTAAAGATATGATTCTTGATGCTGCGGTAAAAAATTTAGAAGGTTAGTTAATTATTTTGAAAACTATAAGGAAAATGAAGTTGACTCTTCTATTAATGAAGCTAAAGAAATAGCACTTAGTATTGGAGTTAAACCTGAATTTCCTATTAAACGTATTGCTTATAGAAAAACACAATTTGAATAAGTTCCAAATACTGAAAGATAACAACAATCTTTTAAGGAAAAATTTAAAATTGATTATTTTATTGTTCTAGTGGATATGACTTTTACACAATTGAAAAGTAGATTTGAGAAAATGCAACATTTTGAATCAAATTTTGGATTTTTGTTTGATGGTGTAAAGTTAGAATCATTACTTGATGATGAAATAAAAAATTGTTGTATGAAACTTGAAAGTAGTTTGATACTTGATATTGATGGGAAAAGTTTATTTATTGAGTTACAAGTTTTGTAGGTAATGTTATCGAATGAAGCATATAAAGGTGAACTTCTTTGGACGGCTATTCAAATTATGGAGTTTGCAAAGAAAATGAATATGTTTCCCAATGTGTTGGTAGCATATAAGATTTTGTTGATAGTGTCGGTTACAATAACTACCGTGGAAAAAAGTTTTTCAAAACTGAAGTTATTGAAATCATATATTCAAAGTACCATGAGTGAAGAAAGATTAAACGGATTGACGATTTTGAGTATTGAAAATCACTTTCTACAAAATCTTGATTATCATAAAATTATGGATGTTTTTTATTCTTAAAATGCACGTAGGTATCGTTTTAAATGATTTTTTTGTATGTTTTTGTTTGTATAATCATGATTTCGTTTGGTTATAAAATATATTTCAAATTTGCTATAACATTTTTATATATAAGGACATTTTTTTAGTATCTTGTTCCTGGTATTGAAAGTCAATGGACCGGTCCTCGGTTTATCGGTTTATAGTATCTCAAAGATTTGAGTTTATAAATTATAGATTAGAATCTTTTTGTGTTTTATTTTGATCTTTTTATTTTTACTTTCCTAATTTATTGGGTGATATTTTGATCTTTTTTCAGCAATTATCACGATTTCCGTTAATTACTTATTAGATCCATGATTTACATATATATATATTTGTGGACGATAAATCCGAGGGTCATAAACTTACTGAAAAATCAAAGTGATCATATGCATATATAATCGAAAAATCAAAGTAATCATATGCATATATAATCAAAGCATTGGTAAGTAATAAATAGGCGGGCCATGGCCCCCCTGCCCCTATAGGCTCCGCCACTACCCTTAAAAAGCTACAAAAACCTTTGAAAATAGTCGGGGAAGAAGCAAGAATCGACAAGGACATATTCCCTTTTATAACATGTGTCTCAATTAAGATAACCTATAGAAAGACGTGTAATATTTATAAAAAAAATTATTGACCCAAAATTAAATGTTGGTATAATTTAAATGTTCTTAAAAAGCTTGTTTATAGATCTGGCAATGAAGAAGATTTTGATCCTGATTTAATCCAAACTTTTAAGAATTATATGGGTTTGAAGCGTATTTTTTTATTCGTTTACCCGTTAATTATCCATACCCACTAATCCTTTTATTAAATCGGTCGGTATGGATCATCACCGATCCACTCCATATATAATCTGCCATATATAAATTTTAGAATTATACATTTATAGGTTATACTACTTAACATTTAATTTTAATTCTAGTCAAAAGTCCAAAGGTAAAGGCCAAAGAAAAAAATGTTTTTACCTAGGAATCGACAAGTATAAGTTGGTTTATAAACTTGTAGACTTCTATCAAGAATCATAATGTCATTCAATTTATATTCATCAAGAAATTGTTATATCAATTTATGATTAAATAAAATCACTTTTAACATGAAAAAGTTGACAACTGCTATTCGTTATCACTATAATCGATAATCATAAATCAATTCAAAGTGGTTGCAATAGTGATTTTTAATTCCAATCTAAATTCCTCAGAATATTTAACTAATGTCTTTTTCTAAACCAATTTTTTTTATTTAAACAAATGTTATTTTAATTATTAAGATATAGTATACGTTTTTTATTTAATAAATTTATTTTAAGAATTAAGTAAAATGTGTTTGATTATTTAAAAAAATTTTGGGTTATGGTGCGAGTTTGGATATTCGTTGATTCGGTGGATAAGGGTATGAGTCTGAGTATTGAAAACCCTATGGGTTACAGAGCGGGTTTGAATCAGATTTTGAACTTTGTTAAAAGGGTTTGGATCAAAATCGATTCGCTCCAAACCTGCTTCATTATTAGGTCAACTTGTTTACCTACTTAAATAAATAAATACATATAAAAAAACGAGAGACATACTATAAAAAATAAAATAAATAAATAAATAACATCACAAGGGACCTGATAAGTAAAAATACAATAGTTCGTTGACTAACTTGTGTTCGGGAATAGTCTTTATGTATCTACTCACTTCCATCGGCACAAACAAATAGTGAGTAGCGAACATCACCCAGAACCCAAGAATGGCGAAAGAAGAAGAGGTGATTCTACTTGATTTCTGGGCGAGCATGTTTGGGATGAGGGCCAGGATAGCACTTGCTGAAAAGGGTGTTTCATACGAATACAGAGAAGAAGATTTGAAGAACAAGAGCCAGCTTCTCTTGGAGATGAACCCGATTCACAAGAAAATTCCAGTTCTCATCCACAACGGAAAACCGATCTGCGAGTCTCGCATCATCGTTGAATATATCGATGAAGTCTGGAACGATAAAGCTCCATTGTTTCCTTCTGATACTTATGGCAAAGCATGTGCGAGGTTTTGGACTGACTTTATTGATAAAAAGGTAACCTTTGACTTTTCTTGATTTTCCTTTGATTTACTTTTACGATCCTATTTACAGGGTTTTTATAATGGTTTATTGTTCAGATTTGGAATCTTGTTGATTCACTCTCCAAATTAATTGGAAATATTTTGATTTTGGTTGTCTCAAATCAAGTCGAAAGTGTATTTTGAATAATTTCAAGCCAGATCTACCTATTTCATCGTAGTTGCACAAAAGTTTTAGGAATATGTGAAGATTTGTAGTGATTCTTAAATCTTTTATTTATTACTTCCAGAAGTCAAACTTTGGTTTATGGAAATTCAGGTATACCTAAATGGGAGAAATTTGCTGTTCAAAGCAGAAGGGGAAGAACACGAGGCATCCAAAAAAGAGTTCATCGATTCCCTTAAACTGATTGAAGGAGAGCTTGGAGAGAAGCCTTACTTCGGAGGTGAGAGTTTTGGGTACCTTGATGTGTCTTTGATCCCATTTTATACATGGTTTCATTCCTATGAAATCTATGGGAAATTGAACATAGAACAAGAGTGCCCAAAATTGATTGATTGGGTTAAAAGATGCATTGAGAAGGAGAGCGTTTCTAATGTTCTTCCTGAGTCGATAAAGGTCCTTGGCTTTGTTCAACAGGTGAGGAAGAGATTGGGACTTGACGAGTAGAACTTTGAGCAATTAAATTAAACCAATCTGTTGTTGAACTAATGTGGCTTTCATGACAGAAAACACTTGGATGTGTTTGTCTCGTATAAAACTCTAAAATAAAAGTTGTATTTTCAGATGTATTCATTACTATCTTTACCTTTTGCTATGCGTGTCTTTTACATATTTGTATTATTATACAGAAGCTGATGTTGGGGAATATAAAGTTCTACGTAATCGAAAGGTTGGAAACATCAGAAATTTACTGAATACTTATAAACTTATATGTCAAGATATAAGCAATAACACATTTGGTAGCTATTAGAAGTTTAAGATACATAATATATAGGGAGAAGCCATATCAATTTAACATCCTTTCTATATGAAATGTTTCATGAAGTCTTCGTACAGATCTATGGGTTTCACCTAGGGGTGTAAATGAAACGAGACAGCTCACGAGAAACACAAGTCCGACTCGGAAAATACTCAAAATCGACTCGACTTTAATTGAGTCGAGCTCGAACTCATGCTACTCGAGTACCTTATCGAGCCGAGCTCGAGTAGTAAAATATCCGGCTCAGTAAGCACGCGAGTTTAATTGAGTATTTATAAAATTAATTTTTTACCCTATATATACTTTTAAATTATTAAAACATTTCAATATTATTAGTTTTCATGCAGACATGCATCGATTATGTAGTAAGGAATTAAGTTGCATTTTAAAACTTTTGAAAATGTTTCTTTTTCGTATTTTGGATGTATGAAAAATGCAATGACATAGATGGTTGATGTTATATTGACATTAGATGGTTCATAGTAAATTTTTTGTTATTTTGAACAAAGTAAAAGCATGTGAAATGTTTTTAATTTTAGATGATTTTAACATTTTGTTTTCACTTTTAGTCGAGCCAAATCTAGCTTGATAGCATCGAGTATCTGAGCTTCAAATTTAGGCTCGAGGCGAGTTCGAGTTAAGCTTCGAGCTCGAGTATTTTAGGCGAGTCGAGCTTCGAGCTTGGCAGTACTCAGCTCAACTCGACTCATTTACACCCCTAATTTTGTCATGTTCATTGGTGGTGTTTGATCGAATATAGCTATAAACATCAAAGAAGATGATAAAAGTATTACTCAGATACCTATGTTTTTAATGTTATTTTAATCCACTTAAACATATTTTCTTTAATTAATACTTTTCAGTGGAAATGTTTAATTGCATTTTTTTTAAACTATATTAATTAGTTAAATAATATATATATATATATATATATATATATATATATATATATATATATATATATAAATTTAAAATGTTATTAAAAAATAAACTAAAAATGTTATTGAAAGAACATGATAAAATATATATAAGTAAATTACGTAAGTATAAAAAAAATGTTTAATCTTTATTTTTAAAAATTAACCCGGACTAGTTTAAAAGTTACATGTTCTATTCCTACGGAAATGAAATGACTATACTAGCCTTATGAATTTATTTTTCATTAATTTATTATTACCCCCATTAAAAACTGTTTAAAAATTAGGCGGACTCAACTACCACACGCCTTAATGTCCTTGGCCATCGACGACCACCTTCGATTAAGACCTTCACCCTTCATCGTTGACGATGACCCCCTCTGGGAACAATCATCAATCATCTCTACATGATTTCCTTTTAATAAGACTCATGGTTTGTATGATTTCCTAACAAGAACAAGGCCTTGAAGCTCCAGAAATCAAGATGTAACAGATATCTAAAATTCAATCTAGGTTAAAATCTGATAAACATTGATTGTATGATTTCCCAAACAATGATTCTTTCTCTGATAAACAATCACGGATGGAACAAAGATCAAGAAATAAAGAGACCCGCGTGAAAATGGAGGTCATAGCTCTACAATTTTTCTTCATCCTCCTCCAATGACTCTCCCTAAGTCATGTTTCCTTCAAGTTGAAAAAGACGATGTTACTCAAGCCTTGTTGGCATACAAACATCAATATGGAAAGTCTATGTTTGTGCATGTTCTGAATATGAAATCATACATTGACAGATTGGGAATGTTAGGTATCATTTTCCCAAGGGAGCTAGACATTGACTTGGTTCTACTTTCGCTTCCTGAATCGTATAGTCAGTTAATCAAAGACTACTATATGACTAACCACGACGTGACCCTAATTGATCTGACACATATGTTGATTGTTGCTGAAGCAGAAATGCTTAAGATCACAAGTCAAGAATTTTTTTTTTAAGGATCTGTCTCCCAAATTTCCATGGACATTCACAATGGCAACAATGATAGTCTAGAAAATGTTTCTCTTCCCAATGGAAAGAGATTGACCAAGGTCAAACCGTTTGACCATATGGTTAAGAGAAAGGCTAGTTTTGAGATAGCTCCATGTGCTAATCCTAAAAGGTCCAATTGTTTTTACTGCCAACTAGAGGGGCATTGGTTGCGAACTGTCGAGACTACCTGAAAGATCTTAGAGATGGTAAAGTCAAGTCGTGTGACTCTACTTCAGGTACATCCATTGTCTAACTCCATTATTTTAATAAGTTCCTATTCGTAGATTCTTAATACATGATGTGATGATCACATTTTGATGTTTTGCAGGATCTAAGAGAAAGAAAGAATAAGAAAAGTGAGCTGAATCTAATCATGATAAATGGACTTTGGTCGCATGGTTCAATGATCAGGTTTTGGAAGCTACTACTTGGGAGTTATGATAATCTAATAGTTTGCGAAATGTTTAGAAACATAGTTTTCATTTTGCATTGAATTTTTTTATTAATAAAAGTGAATTTTTGATTTATCTAGTTTACTTTATATTTTCTTGCAATGGTATTTATGAAAATCGGTGGTAACATTTCTATTGTTAGCACTATTAAATGTGGATTTGATTATTAATTATATAGTTTGTGGTAGTGTCATGATTTACCAAGTGAAAAGGAATTCTCATCACCCAAGTTTTAATTGGACAGAAACTTTGAGTCATGCAATTCGAATTGTGTGATGTATGAGAATCTTGATTGTTGGAATATTATGACTAATTCATTGATCACATGTTTATGTGAGTCAAAGTGAAGGACTAATGGATCTAGTACATATTGATATGGACTATTCAAATCCGCCACAAAAGATTATAAGTCTATTCGTCATGATTTACTGATGCTTCAGTAAAGATGGTTGTGTTTCTAAGATTAAGCATAATTCTGATACTTTAAAAAGTTTCAAAAAGTAGCTGAACGAATATGAAGAATCTATTAGGCAGAAAGATAAAGGTATCTCCAATCTGAAAGGAAATGAGAGTAGTTTAGTATCGTGTTTTATGATCATCTTAATGATTGTGGAACTTTATCACAATTAATCCTCGAAGAACATCTTATTGCAAATGTTTTGACTGAGAAGAGGAATCAGATATTGTTGAAATGGTTCAATCAAGAGATGAGTCATACTTCGTTTCCAATCAAGTTTTAGAGTCATACTCTATTAACTACAAATCGTATCTTGAAGCTTGTTCCGTACTAATTCGGTTTGTAACACCTTATGAAATGTGGAGTAATAATGTTTTCATACTCTAGCACATTTGGAATTGGTAGTTGTGATGTTTTTGGTTAAAACAATGGATACACTAAGACCAATTACATGAATTGTTTCTTGTCGAGAATCCACACAAACTTTTGAATGTTTGTTTTTGACAGTCAATGAATGATCCTTGAGAGTGAAACTTATATGTCAAGAAGTTAGTTGGACTCTTAATGATCTTGAATAGTTTCAGGAGTCAATGATGAATAAACCTTTTAGTTATCACTAGTACACGACCTCAGGTTGATAACCTATCGTGTTAAGTTGACATATTCTTGTTTCTGTGCACCATCAAGTTAAGTTAGAAATGCTTATGAGTTCTATGGTTCTCATTTGACTACAAAATGCAGAGCATGTTGATCACTGATAGTACATTGGTCAATGTAGGTAAGATGCTTAACAACTTGGAAGTAGTGGTAGGCCTTTATACTACCAGAAGGCAAGAAATTAAGAATAGGAAAAGTTCAGTCCATGAAAGGAAAACTAAATTTGATTTTGGTTTTTTCCTCAACCTTATATTATGATTGTAGGTTGGTAATGATAGATTCACATGGATGGGAACACATACACCATAAAATCTAGGTGGCAAAAGGATTTCACTCTAATTCATGAAAATGATTATGAGGAAAAACTTTTGCTAGTAGATTTTAAAGATTTGATAAATATCATTATGGTTAGTAGTTGTGATAACTACATTCTCAAATTTACAATATGATTACGACATCCCTTTTCGTAGTTCGGATTGTGAGAAATGGCAAGGAACCATTTGAATGTTTAAGACTTATAGTTGTAAATTTTGAAAGGGTTTAAACACACACATATGTTATCTAATGAAAGGTGTATAAGCTTGAGAAGTCTAGCTAGAGACTTATCAAAGCATCATGCATCAGAAATCTGCACTTTAGTAAGAAAGTCAAGAATATTGATTTCTAGAAGTCTAATTGATTTCTGGATACATGTCAAAGCTAGTGGGAGTATAATTGTTATGCTAGTTATTCTATGTATTGCAAGTTAGCAATATTAAATGTAGGAAAAAAATATTTCAAATTTGCAAATTGCATAGTTTGGGAATTGTTTCACTATAGAAAGATTTAAGGGACAGGGCACTCATACTTCGTTTCAGATCTAAAAGTTTAGATTGAAGGATTTTAATGGAAATTAGTCTTGGAAATATATGAATGTCGTGTTGAAATAGTTCGACATAGGAAAATTGATATATGGAAATATCATAGCAAGAGACTGAGCAGATATCAGGTATTTATGGATCGATTCTTATATGCTTTGAATATAAGATCGATTATAAGTGCCATGATATTCACTTGTTCTGATTTTTTCAAACGACTTGGGCATTAGGAAGGGAAAAGAACTAGAAATTGATGTGACTAAAGTTGTTAAACAGCTATCATGAACACTCTAAGGTTTACTGAAGATTGGTT